CACCTGGAACTGTACCCAAAGAACAAGAATCGAGCGCAAGGTAATCATTTGGCTTATACTAGCCGTCAAACAGATATTGGACATATTTGATATTGTTGATAAGCTGAGGCTGTGTGAAATGAGAATTTGTTTGGTTAACTCATTAGGTACACGACCACTAGTTTCGATTGTTGTGAGCGGGCACCATAGATTAGTAGCATGACAGATAGGTATGTCGCACGTACATGATTGGAGATTCGGTTAATGTCGTAATTCTCAAAAATCATGGTGTACCTAGATTTATATTTCTTTTATGTGTCTGTGGCTGCTCACCTTGTGCACTAACTAAGCGCCAGAAATACTTGTTCTTCACGATTTTGTCATATTACAATGCATTTGCTGCTCCCATTTGTCCTGAAATAGCTGTACTTGAATTCTGAGTTTATCCTGCTCGAATCTTTACGTGTAGCCTGAAGAAATACTATGGTCACACTACCCATTTTTATTGATCCACATCGTTCTTAAGGTATTATTGTTTCAAAAAGCACATTGATCAATGTCTTCAACCTGCAAATACTTGGGAATATCCGTGCCGTATCATTTATATTGTTACTAATTACCTTCGAAATTACATTAAAATATTTCTTTTCGACATACTATTTTCGCACGCACCTTCATATAGTATGTAAGTCACATTCTTTCCTGTTCATTAAGAAGCTTTATTGTTGATTTTGTAAGCATAACAAAATCTAAACATTTGCTTGAGCAGTCTTCACGCTTTCAATGTCGAACTACATGGTTGACTGATTGCGTACAGTGGTTTGTTCTGTTATTAAGCAGATGCTTTTCCTGCTTGTCTGTTTTGACACGCATCAATATCTCTGTCCGAAACTACCAACCGGTCTACATCAGTTTTGTTGTAGTGAAGAATCAACTTGCGGAATAGTTCTACTCGCAACTAAACGACGTCTTCGGCTTATAAAGCTATCGGATGTTAAAGTGGACCGCGGCAGTCCACGTGACTTTCGTAACTTGAGAATCGAGATTCCAGTTAGCGTTGGTCAAAGTCGCCATTAACCGCGATGATGCATACGGTTGTCTTCATTAAGCTCTAAGTTTTTGCTCGTGTCAATTTAGTTCCACTCAAGTAGGTAGACTGAGCAAAACGGAGAGATACTTGGGTGGGTCTTATGGTGTCGCGACTCAGGTCAAAAAATAACGACCGTCTGCTGCAGCTATGCCCACGGAACTGCCTATTTGTAGCCAATACCAATGTTGAACATAAAAGAAAACATCTTTTAACAGTTCGAGTTCTAATGTCCTCACATCGCTGAACCGAACAAGATCACATCGCTATCAGTCATCAATGGGGCGGGGGCCCAATAAGAGGTTGACACTCGTTCTGGAGCACATGTCTAAGGTGAAATAGGTTAGGAAGAATCAATGGATCTCAGTAGCATCATTTGAACTGATAGATGCTGGAAAACTAATACCATCCGGCATCGAACATGATGTGGCGTGAAGTCAGCTTAGGCGCAGGCAGATAAAAAGCCTGCGCGACGATCGCGAACAGTGGTGAGTAGCGAAAGCAAGAGAGGTGAAAAAGCAACGGCAATAGGTAATGGTAGACAGCTGTTCAAGCCTATGAAGGAAACCGGTTTTAGAAATCCGACTACTGGTGGTACTATTACGGAGAAGGGTGGTCTAATTATTCTTTTTCAATCCTGGAAATTGGATCAGTGGGCAGAACACTAAGGATCATTCCAATTAACCTTCAGCTACATTTCGGGCGCCCACGATCTCCAGTCAACCAGAAGGTCGAGTTGATGTCGGTCCTCCGACTCTATTTCATGGAAGGCGATAAATGTTAGTGTAAGTTTGCTAACTTTTGTTGACGTAAATGAGCTTTCAAGATTCAAAAAATCAAATCCTGGTAAATTGACGTAGTTTGAATTTTAAAAGTTATCCAACTTTTGTTTGATTGCCTAATTAACTCACTTGGTCAAATGTATGTAAGTACAGAGTTTAAGGTAGATAAGCCTCAAAGAAACTGCTTTTCATTCTACATCTATATCAACTGTATATTGAATACTCAGTGTTATGTACGAAATCTTTCAAATTACATCACACATTTTGTTAAACAGTTTACAAAATAGGTGGGAAATGTATCGATAGTACCCATTTTCAGATTTCAGGCTTGTATGCACACAAATCATATGATATCATCTTTATTCCACAATCCTTTAGTTGTATTTAAAACTATGACACCATGAACAAATCATTTTTCTAAGTTCCATCGCAAGCTCCTATCAGAATTCTTCACCTAATTATTTTTCTGATGTCTAATCAGGAGTTTTGCCTAAAATATTATATTTTTATCATACATAACTTGTACTTTAGCGTGATTACTGAAACGTTAATTTAACTCATTATCCAGTTACTTTTAAACGTATGACTAAATTATACTATCTATGCAAGTGCATTAATGAAAACATAAGATTTCAACCAACTCAATAAAGATTTTGGCTGATATAAAAATTTTCTTCATTTTAACAAATATTTTCTAGAAATATGTCTGGTAAGAATAATATATAGACGTAATTAGACAGTTATTTATGTCATTTCGTTCACAATATCGTCCGATACAAGTTTCGTTGTTATTTTATTGTTTATTTTCAAAATTAATCTGCTGGATTTCTCCAAAACACGCAACGAAATTTATCGTACATAAATTCTATTGCTAGAAAAGGTTCATGACTGAAATTTGACCAGAACGACCCATCAATAATGAATACTTGCCATAATCCACCATATTTCTTATCCAAATACTTTTTAATATCATTGCAGATATTATTGATTGAATTCTCTTCAGTATACTGTGTTTTCATCATTTCTTTAAATGCTCTTGTTATATCAACTTGCTTTTGTAAAGACATTGAAGTAGTTAAAATTTTAACGTCCGAATCTAGTCTGGGCGATAAACCAGCTTCCATATTCTCCCGATCCTTCTTCTCCATAATCCTAGTGAAGAAGTAAGTAGAGATAAAGCGTTTACATTAGTTCATCTTTGATAACTCGAAAAAATGCTTTCACATAATTCTATAATTACTGACCTTTATCAACACCTTAATTGATCAATTCTAATTCAGTATTTCAAGAATCCAGAAACTGATGGGGAACATTACCCATTGACTCTTATCTTAATTATTGTACAAGCCAAAAATATGCATCAGTCAGTTTTCCGGCGTAAAATAATATCAGGACAATGATTAGTATGTAAGGTCTGTATTGAAAAAATGCTTGTTAGTGAGACTATTTTATACCTAACATCCATGCATTTCAAAGTCATAGCATATATATATATATATATATATATATATATATATATATATATATATATACCGAAATGTATTCGATTTAATTCAATAAAGCTTTTATTTCATTTATTATTTGTGCTGTAGTTTTACAAGTGACATCCGTTCTCTTACCCGTAACAGCACGCGAGACCAAATTGGTCACAATCAAATCCTTCATACACCTCCAAATATCCCTTACTTCCACGACTAACCCTCCTCATATCATTTTACCACCCAGCAGCACTAATGCAAACCCCGCCCTAAACTACATGCTGGAGCTCATACTGTTCGAACGTTGTACCCAATAGGACGACAAGCTTCCTTAGCTAGGACTCTGACCACCAAATCAAGGTAGCAGCTACGGTCGCATATCTGCCTACGCTCCCACTGACTGCAGTTCAGACAAGGTGAAAGATGAGTTACAGAAAGCTTTCAGAACTACTCCAAAATGTTACGCGTTCTGATATAGTAATAGCAGCTGGTGACTTCCATGCTTAAGTAGGTAGACTAAGTGAAAAGGAAAGACGCCTGGGTGGATCTTATGGTGTCGCGGCTGACCGAACAGATAATGGCGACCGCTGGCTGCAGCTATGCTCGAATATGTGCCTATTTCTAGCAAACACTATCTTCAAGCACAAGGTGGATCATCCTTTGACATGGCGACCTCCAATGTCATCTCAATACTGGACCTAACTAGGTCACATCGCCATTAGCAACTGATGGAGAGATTAGAAACAGGACTGGGAACTGGACTAGATACCATCCAAATGCATAGAAATTCGTGGGAACGTACCCTCGACACTGCAAACGATTTTCAGCAGTGTCATTCAAGGTCTCCAACTATCGGTTACTTCCGTCCCACGGACCCCAACCAGGTAGCCAACACCTATCAACATGTTTCAGTCTGTTTGTCAGTGACTTCTTTGATTCCTGCCATGTTTTGGTTCTGGGCCCCTAGCTTTCCGCGAAGCTATTCCTGTACCATAAAACATCACTCATGATGACACAGTTCTATTTGGTAAAGACGCTGACAAAATGAAGAGTCTTCTAACCAGTCCAAGCAACAATTCAAGGGCGTTCAAAATGCGACTATACCCAGCCCGGAAATGACTAGTGAAAAAGGCTATTTAAAAAAAGCACACAATTTATTTACATGTTATCAAGAAACTTTCTAGATATACCATTCTATAGATAAAACATTCCATCAATCTGTGATGCATGAATTTTGAAACGACCACCACCATCCAACAAAACAGATGGTTGGTCTAATCCTGACAACCAATCTCGTGCACGAAAAGCAGCTAAATGGGAATAATAGGTTGGTGCTGGATACGATACGCTACGAGAACATCTCATATAAGCGTAGCACAGATAATAAGTGAACATTTGTAAAGCGTCAGATGTCCAGTTACTATCATCGTATAGCACATGGTAGTGTGCAGGTTTGGAGGTCCCCTGTATTAAACGAAGATAAGCTAAGCAACAGAACTAACCTGAATGCCGTCCTGAGAGCACAGATAAAAGTCGAACTCTCTTGGATGAGTTATTTCCGTATCGACGACTGTTCCGGGTTCCACATTTCGCGCTCTATACAGACAATAAAATGTCATTGTAGAAAGGTAAGAAAGGGTATGCATAAATAAAGAGTAAACACAAATATACTACCTGGGATCAGAAGGCTTGAAGCGAATATGATGACGTTTCTGCACGACAATATAAGTTATAGCTGGCTCTTCTCCAGAACGTACGTCTGAGCATGCTCTCTGGATAGCAGCCAGCTCTTCAACTAGAACATTTTCGAACTGTCCCTCTGAAACTCCATCGCGATAAAATATCATACGGGTAGGGAAGCGACCATTAGTATTCCCCAAATAAAGCTGTAATGGGAAAGCGGTTGTCGGCAGAAATTCAAGAAATAAGACTAAGTACTTACCAATAACAGTTCCTTGACAATCAGGCGCATGTCGTCAATGATTTCTCTTGCAGTCTTATTACCTTTTTCACTTGTCGCTTGCTGACGAACTACGACTCCGTATCGCATAAGATCCGGCGAAATGCTACCAATAACCGCTGCAACTGACTTTCGGACTTGTTGAGTTTGAGTAGGAGCTGGATGAGTAACGTCTGCTCCAAAGACCATTAGGAGTTCATTGCTGTTTCTAATAAGATCTGGAATCTGCCAATTAACACCACCAAGTTTTCCATTGAGTTTTAACAAAAGGTTTGCTAGAATTCACTCATGAAATAACGAATATTTACTTACGAAAAACATTCGGTTTATCAAGGGTACGACCACGCACACACTGTGTGCGAATGCCCATCTGCAGGTCACTTAGTCGTTTAATAGCAGGATAGGCATGTTCATCATAGAGAATAAGTAGTAAGAATGCACATCCACGTCGAGAAAACTCCTCAAATCTTCTGTTGAGTTCACCAATAGGACAATGTGACAAATGTGGTTGGGGGCTAAGACGAATTCCAACTCGATCTGCTGCTCGTGGCAATTCGCGCATAACTTTCTGCACATGTGCTTGAGATCTCTGAATACAAAACATGAGATATAGTAGTTGTGAGCCATTTTTTCCAAAAGCGAGTTCTGAAAGTACCGATTATATATTAGCAACAGGTTTATTTATTTTATATAGCTAGCGATCTGAAGAAAAACGAATTAACCAACGTACCCTATCCGGTGGGACGCAAAGTATCGCCCAAAGTAACTCAGCTCCTCGACCAGCAGGATCATGAAAACCAGGTGACGTCCAATTTCCTGGCTTGAGCGAGACAACACCGGAGCGACCGAAAGCTGCACTCGGCGGTTGAATAACTCTGGCACTTACATCTATAGGTCTTGATTGCACCGTTAAACCGAATTGCTTTATCAAAGGATGTGACCTAGAACAAAAGCCGAATACTCAGATATTTCAGAAATGGAGGAATGACATTTGGAAGTAAAATAGTACATGTTTATTTGAAGACTCGACACCGATTACCTTTTTATAAATTTTGAACAATATAAATTGCTTACAGGTGATTGAAGTTTGAATTCTTACTTTAACATGCTGCTCGAAAAGTTCTGTAGTTCTTGAAAACGTTCTTGTGGCCTAACTGCCGCACAACGAATTACTTCGCTGGCTACATCAGCTTTCGTTGCATTAGGTGCTTGAAATGGAAGAATATTTAATAATTCCATCGGCATATACACTTCACGTTTAAGATCGACCTGGGGAATACAACAATAAATCCACATTACCTTTACACATGGGAGATCAGGATATTTCAACTTTATTTGGTGGTGTTCATAGAAGTATGCGGCAACAGACTGTTTCCGCTCCTCAATTATAAGCTGGTTAGCCGGCAAAGATGATATTCCATGTATAGTGAACCGTCTGGAATATGCATTGCCTAGAACGGTGTTATGAGAGTAAACAAAAGAGCTACATACCTTTGTCACTTTTATAAAACTTATCCGTTTCGACACGTATTCTTCTTAAATCATAAGCCATTTGGGTACTGCATCTAGCCATATTATCTCCGTACTTTTCATACATGACGTCGGCTAGATTGCCAGCTGTGAAGAATGCCTTGCATGTCTTCAAAAGTCAATTAGGTTAGAATCTCAGGAATTACCATGTCCAAATTGATACGAACCTTCCATTGTGGTCTAACACTAGTGATAAAACCCTTGTGTATGGTGAATAGTTTATCTGTGACCACTCTAACTGGCTTGTCATGAAACAAAGCAGATCGTCCGAGGGAAACAAATGACTGCTTTGAGACTGTCTTCAATATACAATCCAACAACCTGATTGACTCCTAGAAAGTACTTTTAGAAAATATAGGCATTACTTGCGGCATGTTTAGAGATGTGGCTTTCGGACTTGTAACAAAATGGTTTATATCCGCAGTGGATACTTTTTGGACCTCCATAATTCGATAACTCAACAGCAACTGATCTCGACCAAGTGGATCTTTTATATTTATCTCTTTTTCTACAGCGTCTGTATTTATTCCTGGTAAGGGTGATTCAGAGTATACTGCATGCCCACCGTCGTAGATTATGGGATCTGTAAAACTGAAAAAGCATGACTAATAATGACATCTGAATGGAAGTGTATTGCGAATTTATGAAGGATGTTTCGATAATGGATGACTTGGCATTTTTGGTAGGAAACCCCGAGATTTATTTACATTAAGCCATAATGTTGTATACACAATTAGACACAAAACTGTGGTTTAGAGTAATTTATAGTGGATTGTGGCATATTTAATAACTGTTGCAATCTTATATCCCAAGGAAATGTGAAATTCAGTTATGTGCATCTGTTACGGGGATATCAAGTTCCAGATTCTTAGGACTGTTTTACAGGAAATTGAAGCTAACTGTTAACTAGGACAAATGTGAGATGGTAAACAATCATGAAAAAACATCACGAAAGCACACTGTCATAGTGAACACTTACGAATCAACAACTTGCTGAATTAATGCTTGCTTTTCTTTTGAGGGCATTCGTATTTCAGTTTTAGTGCCGTCATTTGCATTGACTCGATAAACAGTACTAGCCTCCAGGAAGTACATGTAAACTGTCTTAGGCAGGAATTGAAAGTCCCAGCAATTTGCCGTAACTGTGACTTTTCTACCAGCCGTACCCCCATGGTCTGGTCTGCTCGGTATTTTCACAATCCTGTTAATGCTTAGTCTGAAACCGTAAGTAAACAAACGTTTTAGTATGGAGAACCGTATGATTAACTGTGGTTACAACAGTTTTATTCATACTTACTTTGATATATCCTTAGAAAGGTCGAATCTAAAATACAAAATTAAAAAAGTCAGTAAGTTAATAGGAACCGACAGGCAACAAGTAGCATTCTGTAGTTTTATGAAGATACTCACATTGGTTTATTCATTGGATGGCTCTTCTTTTGACGAGCTCTCTCTGACATATTTCTTTCGGGAGACGGATTTTCTTTTCTCAGCTCATGCGGTTGCGAAGAATTGGGTGGACTGGAAAAAAACGTTTTTAGAAAATGTGAGTGGTTAACGTGTGATAACCTATTACAATGGAATTAGATCATTTGGGTCGCCAATAAATAACTCGTAGCGTCCTTTACTTCAGAACGGTCTGGGTGGTCATAAGTCAAGAGTTGAAAACCACCATATTCTAAATCCGATACTCTTACCGTACAGCACATAACAGTATCCAAATTACTTAAACTAGAATAGCACAATTTGCATCAACTTATGTCTAATAGTTGCTCTTCCTATTGCTAGTAAATGCTGATGAAGGAATTGTGAAGCGTCAGTAATTTTCAGGTACCTTGAAAAGATCCCGACCGTAGCTGCTACCTTGACGTGGTGGTCGGTCTTGCCTATCGTAATGATCCAACCGAGCTATATTGGCTGGAACATATATTCCTGTAGATCCTACCATGCAACGCAGGTCGATTGGAGAACGATGAGACTAAAACCAGCTACTCAAGGTCTGAAGGCGAAGTTGCACTGCTGACTGTAATGAGGTGACAGCAGTAAGGTGCTTCCCTCGGACAACCAGCATCTGCAGCAATGCTGCCTTCTCACAAGGAAGGAACGGGTTAGAAAAGGTCGACCCTAGAAATGTCACACCTCACCTCACTTCACAGACCTCACCATGTCAAGATAAAGAAGCAACTCGATTTACCCTTCGTGTATCCGGTAGCCCTGATGCTGCTTCCCGGGGTCTCGCTGGTGTAGGCATAGCATTGAGTCCTAGGGCAGAACTAGCACACCTAGACTGGATTACAGTAGATAGTCGCTTGTGCACTGCCCGACTAAACGGGACAGTAAGGACTCGGAAAGATAGGGACACTCGCTGTTGCCTATTCGTCGTATCTGCCTACACCCCCACTGACTGCAGTTCAAACAATGTAAAAGACGAGTTATACAGAAAGCTTTCGGACCTCCTCCAAAAAGTTAAGCGCTCTGATATAGTAATAATGGCTGCTGACTTTAATGCTCAAGGAGGAAGACTAAGTGAAAAGAAAAGACACCTGGGTGGATCTTATGGTCGCGGCTGACCGAACAGATAATGGCGACCGTCTGTTGCAACTGTGCTCAGATAACCGCCTATTTCTAGCAAACACTAACTTGAGTCATAAGGAAAAGCATCTATTGACATGGCGACCTCCAATGTCGTCCTAACACTGGACCTAACTAGGACACATTGCTATCAGCCACCAATAGAGCACTGTCGCTCGTTCTGGGGCACATGTCTAGATTCAGACCATGCTCTAATGCGAGCGCGTATTGGTTTGCGACTTACCGGACGTAGGAAAGACACCGCAATGAAACCTCTTAGGGTTCTACCTAGTGATAGCAGAGCTAAGAATATATTTCAGAAACAACTAGAAAGACAGTTAGGCGACCATATAAGTGATTCCTATCCCGAGGCAGGTTGGAATGATATCCAAAATGCTGTGGAAACAGTAGTGATATGTGCTAGTAAAGTAAACCATATGGCTAGAAAGAAGCCGTGGATCTCGGTAGCATCTGCCGAACTGATGGATACTCGAAAACTTATCCCACCTGGCTCTGAACATGATGAAGAGCGAAGTCAGCTTAGGCGCAGGCTGATAAAAGGCCTACGCAACGACCGCAAACAGTGGTGGGTGGCGAAAGCAAAGGCGATGTAAAAGGCAGCGGCGATAGGCAACAGTAGACGGCAGTTCTGACTTATAAAGGAAACCGGTATTAGAAATCCATCTGTTAGAGAAAATATCTCAGAAAAGGACGGCTGTATCATTCATTCTCAATCCAGGAGATTGGATCAATGAGCAGAACACTTTAGGGATCAGTTCAAATAGCCGTCACTCACACCTCGGTTGCCCATGATCTCCAGTCATCGTGAATGGCAAGTCGATTTAAGTCCTCCGAATCGTTATGAAGTTGAGAAAGCTATAGGAAATCTAAAGCGAGGGAAAGCAGTGGGTCTAGATAGATTCATCCCTGAGATTTTAGGGGATGATGGACCAGTTTTAACAGTTAGATTAACGGAGATCTTAGGTAGAATCTGGGAACTAGACGTAATCCCATCTGACTGGTCTCAATCCCTGATTGTCCCAATTTATAAGAAGGGACAAAATCCCTCTTGTGACAGTCACAGAGGAATCAGTCTAACTAATATAGTTTTTAAATTGTTAGCCTCCATTATACTTAGACGCCTAACTAGAGCTCGTGAAGACCAGACTAGAGAAATTCAGGCTGGTTTTCGATCTGAACGTGGCTGTAGAGACCACATTTTCACTCTACGACAAGTCCTGGAACACAGACACACATTTAGGCGTCCGACAATAGTTGTTTTCCTGGACCTTAAGGCGGCTTTCGACTCTGCCGATCGTGGCAGTGCCTTTCTCTAAAAGGTGTGCCAAAGAAGTACATTAACCTTATACAAGCTCTCTACTCGAACACCACTGGTCGAGTGAGAACCTATGGCGAACTGTCACCTGAATTCTCCACTTCAAGTGGTGTCCGTCAGGGTTGTCCACTCCCTCCATTCTTGTTTAAATTTGTTGTGGACATCCTTTTAGAGTTAACATTATCCTCGTCGGATTTTTCGGGAGGATCGCTTACTGCCGATAACATAGTTCTATTTGGTGAAGACGCTGACAAAATGTAGTCTTCTGACTACCATAAGCAACAATGCAAGCATGTTTGGGATGCAGTTCTCCTCCTCGAAGTGCAAAATGCTGCTTCCAGATTGGCTTGCAACGACACCTGAACTCCTGGTAGGGAGGGGAGCATTTGGGCGTGTTGACCGCTTCATTTATCTCGGGAGTCTCATCAGTGCTGGTGGCCTGGTCACTGGCGAAATTTCAGCACGGAACAAAAGGCTAGATTTGGCTTTCGCCAAATCGCGTAACTTATGGCGTAGGAGAGTTATCCGTCTGCTAACCAAAGGACGAGTCTACCGCGCAGCAGTCCGCTCCGTCCTACTTTATGGCTGTGAAACATAGGGAGTAGGAGTAGAGGATATTCGTAGGTTGTTAGTATCTCATCATCGGTGTCTAAGACGCACTGCCCATATATCCTGGGACAACCGACCAAGCAATGCTATAGTTAGGAAATGAGTACTAGGTAGGGATGGAAGGTCAATTGATGAAGTAGTGAAACTCCATCAGTTGAGGTGGTTGGGACATGTGTTACGTATGCACAACCACCGACTGCCTCGACGAGCAATGTTTTGTGGTATAGGAGTAGGTAGGGTGGAAGAAAGCTAGGGGCCGCAAACCAAAGCATGGCAGAAATCCATGAAGTCACTGACAAATGGATTGAGTCATGTTGGTAGATGTAGGCTACCTGGTTGGGGTCCGCGAGACGAAAGTAACCGATGGTTGGAGACCTTGAATGACATGGTTCGATATCTTTCAAGATGGCATTCATTCATTGTGTTCTCTCAAATTCTAACCTTCTGAATTTCTCTTCCTAAATTTATATCACTGAACTATACTTCTCGTATCACATCTTCGAACCATAATCTTCTCCATTACTGCTAATGCTTCTACTATCGCTACCACTATGGGATTTGTACTGAAACGTGCGTCTCTGTACTGATGCGGTATGGCAACCTGAACTTATGTACTCATGTACAACGTTCCACGTTGTAACTGACTGACTGGCCTTGAAAAGATAGAAATGCTTATCTTATATTTTAATAACATGATCATTAAACTTTGGATGCAGCCTACTACAATACTGTTCGAGAAAATACGTTTCTACATGTCTATTTAATTAGGCCCATGAAATGCCAATACAGTTATGAATACATGTGTTGATATGATTGCTTTAATTATCAATAGAATGAAGCAACACTAGAGTATTGCTAGATCCAATATACAAAAAGGAATTCCAAATACATTACTCTGTTTTATTTAGGATTGAAACGACTTTAACATCAAGTTAATATAATAAACATAAAGCTTACGGGTATCCTCTTGGTGGTGGGCCCCCACGACCCCTGGTGACTTGGGCGCTTGGCGGTGGCCTGGAAACGAACGGTCAGGTGTTTTACCCAAGAGGTGGGAAAAACAGATATCCACACATTACCAATGCCAGTAACAAGAAGCGAAAATTCGTAGACCTACCCGTCGAAAAATTGACGACGATCACCATCGTAACTGTTGTGTATAACAAACAAAAGAAAATTTATCTTGGAAGAAGAAACTTGGTACACAATTATGTACTGTGATGATGTGATTAGGAATAAAAAATGATCACAAATACGCCAGAAGCCTGAACTGTCAACTTCTTGGTTAGTCAGTCAGTAAGCAAAACCTTAGATGTCTGGCTGACGAGAAGACAGCACTGTAATTCACTGACATGTCTGTGCATACCATCCTCGTTGGAGCCCAACAGCAATGATTGTCAACTCCCGATCTAGTCGATGATCCCACACGAACGAAAAGGAATACACAATTTCTTATGTGGTGGAATCATAACCCACCCAAGTATCTCTCCGTTTTGCTCAGTCTACCTACTTGAGTGGAACTAAATTGGCACGAGCACAAATTAAAGCTTAATGAAGAGCAGTATCTAAAGAAAACCGTACGCATCACCGCGGTTAATGACGACTCCGACCAACGCTAACTCGAGTCTCGATTCTCAAGTCACGAAAGTCACGTGGACTGCCGCGGTTCACTTTAACATCCGATAGCTTTATAAGCCGACGACGTCGTTTAGTTGCGAGTAGAACTATTCCGCAAGTTGATTCTCCACTACAATAAAACTGATGTATACCGGTTGGTAGTTTAGGGCAGGGATATTGATGCGTGTCAAAACAGACAGGCAGGAAAAGCATCTGCTTAATAACAGAACAAACCACTGTACGCAATCAGTCAACCATGTAGTTCGACATTGAAAGCGCGAAGACTGCTCAAGCAAATGTTTAGATTTTGTTATGCTTACAAAATCAACAATAAAGCTTCTTAATAAACAGGAAAGAATGTGACTTACAAACTATATGAAGGTGCGTGGGAACCACGAGCTCTCTGAGCATTGACTGACCCACGTCCACGTGGAGGACCGTGAGAACCTCTAGAATGAAAATAGTAGAAGGTCGAAGAAAAATATTGTAATGTAATTTCGAAGGTAATTAGTAACAATATAAATGATACGGCACGGATATTCCCAAGTATTTGCAGGTTGAAGACATTGATCAATGTGCTTTTTGAAACAATAATACCTTAAGAACGATGTGGGTCAATAAAAATGGGTAGTGTGACCATAGTATTTCTTCAGGCTACACGTAAAGATTCGAGCAGGATAAACTCAGAATTCAAGTACAGCTATTTCAGGACAAATGGGAGCAGCAAATGCATTGTAATATGACAAAATCGTGAAGAACAAGTATTTCTGGCGCTTAGTTAGTGCACAAGGTGAGCAGCCACAGACACATAAAAGAAATATAAATCTAGGTACACCATGATTTTTGAGAATTACGACATTAACCGAATCTCCAATCATATACGTGCGACATACCTATCTGTCATGTTACTAATCTATGGTGCCCGCTCACAACAATCGAAACTAGCGGTCGCGTACCTAATGAATTAACCAAACAAAATCTCATTTCACACAGCCTCAGCTTATCAACAATATCAAATATGTCCAATATCTTTTTGACGGCTAGTATAAGCCAAATGATTCCCTTGCACTCGATTCTTGTTCTTTGGGTACAGTTCCAGGTGTTTGGTAGTATCCAATAAATGGTGGTCTAGCCACTCAACTGTCTAATTCTAGTCAGTTGTTTGTGAGTTTGCATGTCCCGTGATTTGAATGAATGAGTTTGTTTCAGGGCAGTAGGGTTTCTGGATACCAGCAGCTACCACATGGTCAGACCGGAGATCAGTTCGTTGCAATGTGGAGAGTAATAAGGGTAATAAGGATAAATTAAAATGATAATATGAGTAAAATTTCAGAACTGAGTAATATATAGATGAATTCAGTTTATTAATTGGTAGTGAAGATTGTGAGAGAGGACCGAAGTGTAAGCAAGGGAGAGGAATAGGCGAGTTAAATTAATTAAGTGATCTGAGGAGATGGCAATGGTAACAACTAGCAGGTCTCAAGATATGCATCAGGCACAGCTTGTCCAAGAGGGAGATGATACTCCGTATGTGAGTACGTGATTATCAAGTCTCTTCCTAAAGCAGTCCACTGAGGGGGCTGTGGTTACCTCTGCTGGGAGAGCATTCCAAGTTGCGACGACTCGCAATGAGAAAAAGTGTGCACGAATCTGAGTATTTGCTCTTTGATGTGCAATCTTTCGAGGATTGCCTCGAGGGGAGTGGTGGTGATGGTTTGGCGTGTTGAATATGGTGTACGCCATAATCAGATCACCTCTGATTCTCCTGTAGCTCAGTGGGAATAATCCCAAGAGCTGGAGTCTATCGTCGTACGGTTTATTTTTCAACCCTATCACCCATTTCGTTGCTCGTCTCTGCACTCGATCCAAGAGATTAATGTCTCTTTTAAGCAGAGGGGGTGCGATGACTTTGTGAACCTCCAAGTGTGGGCGCGCGTACGTCTTAAACAGGGTTAAAAATAATTTCGGGTGATAGCACCAAGTTGTCTTCGCATAAAGTGAAGAGTCACATTTGCCTTGGCTGCATCCCCTACATACTTCGGACTCGTGTGGAGGCTTTCTGTGGTTATTAAACCAAGATCCCGCTCTGAGGAGACATTAGGGAGCGGACTTCCATTGAGAGTGTAGGTGGTTTGCGTCATATGGGGCAGGAAATGCATGACGTGGCACTTTGGTTGGTTGAGTTTTAAACCATTTTTCACTGCCCATTTCTCAATGGATGTAAGGTCCTTTTGAAGCTCAGTCGAATCCTCTTCGCTTCTAATGGACCTCCAGATCTTCGCATCGTCTGCGTAGATCAGTGCCAGTGAGCTAACTAAGCCTAGCAGGTAGTTAATAAATATCAGGAAGAGGAGTTGGCCTAGTATGGTCCCCTGTGAAACTCCTGAAGTGGATTCTCTCCAAATCGCATGCACCCTGTTTACCTTGGTGCGAAACTCTCTATTCTCAAGGTAGTTTCTGAGCCAAGATACAGGTGGATCAGTGATGCCCATTTCCACAACCTTTTCGATTAGGCGTGCGTGGGGCACTGTGTCAAAGGCTTTTGCGAAGTCGAGAAATACTACGTGCACTGGTATTTTACGGTCCAAGCAGGATGTCCAACTGTCTCATGCGATGAGAAGATTAGATGCACACGACCTGCCTTTCCGAAACCCGTGTTGAGTTTCATGGAGTATTTTATTCTTATCCATGTACTCCCTCATTTGTTCGTCCACTAGTCCTTCCATAACCTTTCGATAATATAGGTAGTAGTGCGACTGGTCTGTAACAGGCTGGGTCCTTTCTATCTCCTCCTTTGAAGATTGGAGAGAGAGTAGCTTGTTTCCATTCCGCTGCGAATGGATTTTAGTTTCCTTAATACTAGGTCAGGAGTGATACGGATGTTCCCTAAGCCGTCAGCTGGCATCGGGTTGGCGTAATACTCTGAACATGTAGGCGCCTGGTTTAATTGATCAGAAAAATGTGTGTTGAAGATCTCGGCCATCTCTAGGTTGGTGAGGTCTTTCCCGTTTGGTCCTTTTAGAGAACACAGCCCTTGATTAGTAGGTTTTCTTTTGGACATGAACCTAAACAGATGTTTCGGGTTTGCCTCTATTCTGGCGGCTAGCTTCGTTTGGAATTGTCTCCTGTCGCTTCGAACTTTGGTATTGCATCTGTTTCTCAATGCCAAGTAAGAACTGCGATCGGAATCCTTCAAGGAGACCTTCCACTTGTGCCAGGCTTTCCTCTTTGCTTGCAGCAAGCGTTCAGTGCCGCGCCTAACCCAGGTTCTTCTTTTCTGGCGTTTTTGGTGTGACTGAGGTACATTGTCTACGACAGCATTCTGGATGATATCTCTCACTGCTTGCCAGTGATCATCTGTCAGCCGCCACCACTCCCGTGGCCATGGGGCATGTAGGAGCACCTCTCTCATGCGTGTGTAGTTTGCCCTACTGTAGCAAAGGTAGGGCTCGTTATCGTCCGGTGTCAGAGTTTCGTTTGTGACCATGTTACACAAGACTGTGCCATGGTCACTACTACCTATTGAAGTGCGGATGTGAACATCCTCAACCAGGAGCTGGTCGTTCGGTAACAGATTATCCAGGTTTGAGGACTTCCCTTCCTTAGTCCATCTAGTGGCACTGTATACGTGCTCAGTCAGCCCAGAGCTTCTAATGGCTGTACCAAGTTGTCTTTGGAACCAACCAGTGGGAGTTATACTCTGATTGCTGAGATTTAAAGATGGGGTATTGAAGTCTCCGGCTAAGAGTATTTGATCAAACCCTAGGAGTGGCAGTTGCAGTACTACCTCAATCAGTTTGCTTTTCTGGGCCTTAGTACGCTAAGGAGGTCGGTAGATCCCTCCAATCAAGTATTTCGTGCCATTCGAGTGGAAACAACACCAACATGATTCTGTCACCTCAGTTAGTTGGGTGTCGTATAGTCGCTCTGCTTTTAAGTTGCCAGTTTGGTGTTCCCTATCGCTTCGGAAGATTGTCATGCCTGGTAAGCTCACTTCTGCGTCTGCAATGTCTGGGGATAGCCATGTTTCTGTTAGGATTATGATCCTCAGATCCATCTGAGAGCACATATTCCTGACTTCTAACAGCTTACCCCTTAGTCCTCTTACGTTGCTATAGAGGCACTTGGTAGTTTGTCTCAGCACCTGGTGCACATTTGTAGCAGCAACCTTTGTCGGGTTTTCAGACAAGTTATTTAAACCGAATCGGCCAGTTCTGTTGGAACTGGCCTCTGCAGGTTTTTTGCCTGCGCGGTTGGTTCGCTCATATCTTGTGCCAGAGGTAGTTGGCCGAGTTTAACTATTTTGGCCTCCCTGCTGTTGTCTCACAGATCTAGGTCGGCTCTCGCAACATCTGATGTGGCTATGCAGATCGTTCCTCAAACTGTACCAAGCTTGTAGTGTTTTAGTCAGGTCTTCCCGGTTCCAAAATGTCACAGGCATCAGGCGTGGTGACTTGATAGACGTAAGGTGTGACGGGTGGGGCAACCTAGAAATGCAAACTGTAGCACATTGTGCTCGTGAGCTTCGTCCGGGTTACCGCTGGTGAGTTCGGGTATGCCGTGAACTACCATGGTGGTCTGTTCTTGGGTGCCTGGCGCAGTTCTGGCTGCTGCACGTACCGACCACGGCTTGTCATGCCTGATACGAATCAGCGAGGACAATTTGACCGATGGTCTTTGGGATGAAAGGATTATGTCTTCAGCAAGTCGTGCCGAGTCAAGAGTTACCCTCATAGGAGGGGATTTTCATTTCGAGTGGTGTCTATACTTCAAGTGGTGTCCGTCAGGGTTGTCCACTCCCTCCATTCTTGTTTAAATTTGTTGTGGACATCCTTTTAGAGTTAACATTATCCTCGTCGGATTTTTCGGGAGGATCGCTCACTGCCGATAACATAGTTCTATTTGGTGAAGACGCTGACAAAATGTAGTCTTCTGACTACCATAAGCAACAATGCAAGCATGTTTGGGATGCAGTTCTCCTCCTCGAAGTGCAAAATGCTGCTTCCAGATTGGCTTGCAACGACACCTGAACTCCTGGTAGGGAGGGGAGCATTTGGGCGTGTTGACCGCTTCATTTATCTCGGGAGTCTCATCAGTGCTGGTGGCCTGGTCACTGGCGAAATTTCAGCACGGAACAAAAGGCTAGATTTGGCTTTCGCCAAATCGCGTAACTTATGGCGTAGGAGAGTTATCCGTCTGCTAACCAAAGGACGAGTCTACCGCGCAGCAGTCCGCTCCGTCCTACTTTATGGCTGTGAAACATAGGGAGTAGGAGTAGAGGATATTCGTAGGTTGTTAGTATCTCATCATCGGTGTCTAAGACGCACTGCCCATATATCCTGGGACAACCGACCAAGCAATGCTATAGTTAGGAAATGAGTACTAGGTAGGGATGGAAGGTCAATTGATGAAGTAGTGAAACTCCATCAGTTGAGGTGGTTGGGACATGTGTTACGTATGCACAACCACCGACTGCCTCGACGAGCAATGTTTTGTGGTATAGGAGTAGGTAGGGTGGAAGAAAGCTAGGGGCCGCAAACCAAAGCATGGCAGAAATCCATGAAGTCACTGACAAATGGATTGAGTCATGTTGGTAGATGTAGGCTACCTGGTTGGGGTCCGCGAGACGAAAGTAACCGATGGTTGGAGACCTTGAATGACATGGTTCGATATCTTTCAAGATGGCATTCATTCATTGTGTTCTCTCAAATTCTAACCTTCTGAATTTCTCTTCCTAAATTTATATCACTGAACTATACTTCTCGTATCACATCTTCGAACCATAATCTTCTCCATTACTGCTAATGCTTCTACTATCGCTACCACTATGGGATTTGTACTGAAACGTGCGTCTCTGTACTGATGCGGTATGGCAACCTGAACTTATGTACTCATGTACAACGTTCCACGTTGTAACTGACTGACTGGCCTTGAAAAGATAGAAATGCTTATCTTATATTTTAATAACATGATCATTAAACTTTGGATGCAGCCTACTACAATACTGTTCGAGAAAATACGTTTCTACATGTCTATTTAATTAGGCCCATGAAATGCCAATACAGTTATGAATACATGTGTTGATATGATTGCTTTAATTATCAATAGAATGAAGCAACACTAGAGTATTGCTAGATCCAATATACAAAAAGGAATTCCAAATACATTACTCTGTTTTATTTAGGATTGAAACGACTTTAACATCAAGTTAATATAATAAACATAAAGCTTACGGGTATCCTCTTGGTGGTGGGCCCCCACGACCCCTGGTGACTTGGGCGCTTGGCGGTGGCCTGGAAACGAACGGTCAGGTGTTTTACCCAAGAGGTGGGAAAAACAGATATCCACACATTACCAATGCCAGTAACAAGAAGCGAAAATTCGTAGACCTACCCGTCGAAAAATTGACGACGATCACCATCGTAACTGTTGTGTATAACAAACAAAAGAAAATTTATCTTGGAAGAAGAAACTTGGTACACAATTATGTACTGTGATGATGTGATTAGGAATAAAAAATGATCACAAATACGCCAGAAGCCTGAACTGTCAACTTCTTGGTTAGTCAGTCAGTAAGCAAAACCTTAGATGTCTGGCTGACGAGAAGACAGCACTGTAATTCACTGACATGTCTGTGCATACCATCCTCGTTGGAGCCCAACAGCAATGATTGTCAACTCCCGATCTAGTCGATGATCCCACACGAACGAAAAGGAATACACAATTTCTTATGTGGTGGAATCATAACCCACCCAAGTATCTCTCCGTTTTGCTCAGTCTACCTACTTGAGTGGAACTAAATTGGCACGAGCACAAATTAAAGCTTAATGAAGAGCAGTATCTAACAAGCTTCCTTCCGACACTGGGACATGAAATATGGTGAGTGAGTTCGATCTGTCGTCCCTGGTCTTGGGTGGAGGCTGCTTGTGAGTTGGGGTGTTGCTCTTTCCCTTCTTCACGTTCACCCATTCTTTCCTGTTGCTGGCAGATACTGGGGGGTTAACAACAACCGGCAGTTTTGTCGGTGTGTTAGGCAGGGTTGTGGTATTCTTGGTCACTTGTTTTACCGGTTCAGTGCCAGGCGATTTTGCTTTGGTCGACTGACATTTTGGGTTTTTTAGCAACCCGTTCGCACGATATTGGAATTTTTGATGCACTATCGACCCCGGGGTTTATGCCTCTATAAGTTTTCCTAGTTGTTACAGTGTAAAGTGTACTAGCGACCTTATTACTTGACATGATGCCAGGGAGATTAGGAGGTGAATACCGAGATTAAAATACGCGATACACAAAAAGGGATTTAGGAAAGAAGAAATTTAGTAGTGTATAATAAAACTACAAGGAATAGAGCCTGAAAGTACTCCAAAATTGCAACTTTAACTTTGACCGTATTAGTAAGTAACTTTGCGTGTATCCAGTAACTTGTCCACAAGTCCTGTATTTGTGAGTGAGTGGATGTATGTATGCTTCCGAAGCAACTAGAAATAGAGCAGTTGAATGAGGTAGCTAGACCTATCGCGCAATGGTTCTGACTTGGAATGGTTCCGTATGCCCGAAAATGTTTTCAGATTGTCAACCAATGAATGGAGACAACTTTTTATAGCTTCGGAGGTGATAAAGTATCCCGAAAGTGGATTGTTTACCGTAAATGGAAGAGAGTCAGCGAGGACACGTCAAATGAATTTACCAAACAAAATCTCATTTCACACAGCCTCAGCTTATCAACAATATCAAATATGTCCAATATCTTTTTGACGGCTAGTATAAGCCAAATGATTCCCTTGCACTCGATTCTTGTTCTTTGGGTACAGTTCCAGGTGTTTGGTAGTATCCAATAAATGGTGGTCTAGCCACTCAACTGTCTAATTCTAGTCAGTTGTTTGTGAGTTTGCATGTCCCGTGATTTGAATGAATGAGTTTGTTTCAGGGCAGTAGGGTTTCTGGATACCAGCAGCTATCACATGGCCAGACCGGAGATCAGTTCGTTGCAATGTGGAGAATAATGAGAAAATTCTCATGCTAATGAGAAGAAGATTTCGGAACTAAGTAAATAACTAGACAACTTAGTTTGTCAATTGTTAGTGAAAATCTTGCGAGAGGAATGAATTGCTAGCTACGGAAAGGAAACAGAGATGATAAGTAAGATAGATCAAGTTAGTGATCAGAGGAGATGACAATAATGACGACTAGTAAGTCTCAAGGCATGCATCAGGCACAGCTTGTCCACGAGGAAGATGACAATTCGTATGCGAGTGAAGCCAATTTCCGTAACCTTTTGTAATACACCAACATTGTCCTCAAGATAACAGGACAGAACTAGTGGTATTAATTAACAGAAATTCTCACATGAAACGTGCTACGCGCTCTAACCGTTAGCCCTCTGTACTTAATTTACCTATTGAACAACAATGCCTGCCCTCTACTTCTCCACCATCAGCCCCTTCTAGCTGTAATACTTTTATGTCTAATCCTTTTGACCGACCACCTTACACACTATCCATTAACTTGACTTACCACACTCTACCTAATCCAATGGATCTACGAAACGATCCATCCTTATGCTCTCTAGCGACTTCCTCATCTGTTCTTCGGGGGTCATAAGTTAACTTTACTTCAAATGCTTCTCTCACCACGCCAGTATCTGATTACCTCTCTCCCACTAACTATATCGCTCACAAATCAACTGACCATAACTATCAATCCTAAATCCCTACTTCCAGCCCCTCTTCCAAAAACACAACATACAACCCACCAGATGCCCATTGTGCTTCCCTTAAAGATGAATATTCATCCTATGTAACACTAATGCTAATTAATTCCCGATCTGTAATCAATAGGATGACTCGCTTAGGCTCTCTCGTAATTCTAAACAATCCTTCCGTTGTCCAGATTACCGAAAGCTGGTTGTCATCCGATGTCCCCGACTCATACCTTCTAATGGGCTCTTTTGTGGTGACCAAGGCTCTAAAAAGAGGGGTGGTTGCCTCATCTATGTATCTAGAAACACCAAAGCAGAAATGTTTAGTGATATTGTTCGTAATAAAGTGCCTGATTCGATATGGCTCACAGTGAATGCTCATGAATGTAAAATACTGATTGGATGCATATATCGAGCTCCAAATACTCATCGATTGATTGACATTGCTATTGGTGAGTCGTTTGTTAGGGCTGCTTCTCTTAAATCCACCTGCAAAATTACGTGCGGTGACTTCAACCTCCCTGGAATCAACTGGCAGACAAATTCCGGTCCACTATGCTTTGACAGCACACTTAGTACCTTGGACTCACACGTTGGCAACAACATGTGCACCTGCCTACTAGAAACCACAACATTCTCGATTCGGTATTTTTCATGATGTCACACCAACATCTGTGGCACTCTACCAAAAGTTTCACAACAGTGACCATTAAATTGTCCTCTGTACCCCACCGTTTCTTGCTAAATGCGACAAATCTAAAACAGTAATTCGTTTTCAATACATAGACTATGAACACTTTGACTGAAACAGCTTCCGATTTCTAATTCAGCACTCCGACTAGACTACGTTCTTTACTAGTCTTGAACTCTCTGAAACATTACATATGTTCATTGTCACCATTAAATCTGCTCTAGATACTACTATCCCCTCCAAAACGTCTTTCAAAACAATGACTCCTTATATCACCCATAAAGCCCGGGCTAAACTGTGTAAACTAAAACGGGTATATTGCATATCTAAGGACTTCAGCATCATGTACCGAATCTACGCTGTGCTTTGGTTACATATATATACACATACCTGATTGCCACCTTCTTTTCTCCCCTTTCAGAACCCAATTCACAGTGGAAAATCCATGGCGCCTCTAGGGAACATGCACCCTATGTACACGCACATCTAGATTGTAACACGTGTAATCAGCAGTCACTGAATGGCGGAGAGGATCTTAAATCACAACACACAAGGTTGGTTTAACACCTCACACCAAGAGAGAACACGAAGTTGTTGTCACGGTACTATTTTATTTGAAAATTAAATACGCGAGGTTTTTACAGGAATAGGGTGGGTAGTGTACCAATGTCCTATGAGTCATCCTGTAAGTTTAGAGCACTCAGGGCTTGTTCTTCAGCTTCCAAAGCGTTTGTGTTTGATCGCCCTGAAACAGAAAGAAAAGAGAACGGGTTAGCAACATCATACATAGTGATTTTGACTCCGTTACAAGATCACAGCTTGTACCAAGCGCGTTCCAATTGACCTATCACAACAAATTCACTGCTGGTCTAATCAAACCACCGAAGAAACCCACTGTGCACCTTCCCTATTTGTACTCTCTTATTGAAAATGTGGTTGTGTTAAACTGTTCCTGTTGGTGACATGGTGTAAATGTGCTATCAGAAACTTACTCTTATACTTAATTTAACTGCGATAACTTTTACAGAAAAATGTGTACGCTTATGTGACAATTTGAACTAGCCTTAAAACTGGCATGCCTCCTGTAACTTACTGTTAGGTGCGCCAATATTAATTGGGAGGTTCGTGGATGCTGCTTCGATGTTGGATGTGTGTCAGTGGAGCTGGTCGACTCAAGAGTTCCTGAAAGTGCTCTACCCACCTACATCGCTGTTACTCAGTGTTGCTGATTACTTTGCCTTCCTAGCTTTTCACTGGTCGTTCTTGTTTACGATAGTTTCCGGCCAGCTTCTTTGTTGTTTCCTACAATTGCCTCAAGATTCCGTCTCTTGCAGCCTTTCCCGCCGTCATTGCTAAATCTTCCACATATTTTCGTTTGTCAGCTCTGATGCTCTTCTTCACTTCCCTGTTTGCTTCTGTGTATGCAGCTTGTGCGGTAGCTTTCCCTGCTCTTGTTCGGCTGACATTCAGTTCTGCCTTCTTGTTCCTCCTTCCTTCAATTTTTGCAAGAGTATCAACAGAGATCTATTCCTTGTGATGGTACTTCTTGTGACCCAGAACCTCGTGATATGTTAAAGTGATTGCCTCCTTAATCCCTTTCCAATTGTTCTCCAATGTTGCGTCCTCTCCATTGAGTAGATCCTGGGAGGCCTGGAACCTATCGGTGAGGGCTATCTTGAATTCGTTGAGTTTCACGGTATCCCGAAGAAAGGCCGTATTAAACTTGTGTGATGTTGTCTGCCCCGTTGTCTAGTGCTCCTTTAGTTTCAGTTTCATTTTAGTGACCAGCAAGTGGTGATCTGAGGCTATGTCAGCTCCGCTCTTGGTTCTGACATGATATGGTCAGATATGATCGATTTGGTTTTGAGTAGTGTGGTCGGGTGAAATCCATGTGGCTTTGTGTATGCGTTTGTGTGGGAATATTGTGCCACCGATGAACAGTTTGTTGAAGGCACATTGGTTTGCAAATCTCTCACCGTTTTCGTTCCATTCTCCCAGTTTATGTCGTCCCATGATGTCTTCATATCCAGTGTTGTCCATTCCAACCTTCACATTCAGGTCTCCCATAAGAATCGTCAAATCCTTTAGTGAACATTTCTCAACGATTGACTGCAGCTTTTCGTAGAATTGATCTTTAACGTCGTCATTGTAGTCATTGGTAGGTGCATAACATTGGATGACGTTCATTGTAATGTCCTCTTTCCTTTGTTTTGAAGGATGCTTTAATGATCCTGGGTCCATGAGATTCCCATCCTATCACTGCCTTTTGTGAATGTTTGCACAGCAT